GGAAGGATAGAAGTTCGGCAGGAAAATCTCCACCTGAAGGTGGAACTCTGACACAACCTTCGGAAGGAAGGATATGTCCGGGATGAGACGCACGCCATCAGATAGGAATCTAAGGTAGGGTGGATCACACCTGAGGGCCATGAGTTCTCCTACCCTACGTGCGGAAGTGATGACAACGAGAAATACCATCTTCCTAGAAAGCAGCCGCATATCACACGTCACAAGCAGCTCGAATGGCTTCCGTGTAAGCTGGCGTAATACCATTGGAAGATCCCACTGCTCCACAGGACATCGGACAGGAGGGTAGAGATGTAAGAGTCCCTTTAGGAAGCGTTTGGAAAGGGGATGAGAAAAAACAGAGTGTCCCTCAACTTGAACATGGTATGCCAATAAGGTGGCTAAGTAAACTTTTAATGAGTGTGAAAAACCAGAGTTGGCCAAGGATAACAGAAAGTCAAAGATCCTTGTCAGACCAGCCCAAGTTGCTTGGGAAGCAGGCACACCTGTAAATGAACAAAACTTTTTCCATTTGTATACATAGGATTTACATGTGGAAGGTTTCCTAGCATTGATCAAGACCTCAGTCACACATGAGGAGAATCCCTGTGGCACACCTTCCGGGCCGTCAGTTTGAGGCAGCAGACATCGTGATGCAGTAGCCGTGTTCCCAAGAGGAACAAGAGATCCGGTGCCGGAGGGAAGTGATGGAAGATGCCCTGGGATAGGTCCAGGAGTGTCGCGAACCAGGGTTGGCGTGGCCACCACGGGGATACCAGAATGCAGTGTGCGTTGTCGTTTAGAATCTTGTGCACGACTCACAGAAGCAGTGGAAGAGGAGGAAACAGGAAGAGATAGCCCATCTCCCAGGGACAGTGGGTCCATGGCCCCTCTGCTGCAAAACCTTGGGCACTTGCTGTTTGATCTGGTGGCAAAGGCGTCCACCCGCGGATGTCCCCATCTGTGGAAGAGAGGCCGAAGGTATGACCAATTGAGTTCCCAGTCGTGTGGACAAAGGCTTCCTCGGCTGAGGTTGTCGGCTTGAACATTCAAGTTGCTGGGTATGTGGGTCACAATCAGATGGATGTGTTGAGACAGGCACCAGTTCCATAAACGAATTTCCAGATCTTAAAGGCGATGGGATACAGTGTTCCCTTGTCGGTTTACGTAACTGAGCACTGTGGTGTTGTCTGTGAGTATAGTGACACCTGGATTAACGGCAGGAAGGAGTGGAGGGCGAATTCTATCGCCAAGAGTTCCAAGAAGTTGATGTGACGAGTTCGAAGCTTGGAGACCACCTGCCTCCGATACAGAGGCCGTGGAGATGTGCCCCCCATCCCCATTGCGACGCGTCTGTTGTCAAAGTCACGGTAGGTGTTGGAGGGTAAAAGGGAGCCCCTTGGAACAGGTTGTTGGGGGAGGTCTACCACAAGAGAGTGTTCTGGATATCCAGAGGGACGGACAGACTGAGTGTTTGAAGATGCCTTGCCGGATCGAAGTTGCGGATGAACCATAGTTGAAGAGGGCGCATCCGCAGTTTCGCAAAGACAAGGACCGACGTAGTGGCGGCCATCAGGCCGAGTAGCCATTGTATCAGCAGTGCCGTTACCGTGGGGTGAGAGGCAACCAATTTGGCAAGGTCCCATTGTGCCAGGCCCTGTCCTCTGGCAGGAAAGCTTGGCAGCGAATGGAGTCCAGGTACACGCGCCTATGTACTGTACCCGTTGGGCAGGTTGTAGGTGGGACTTGTCGGTATTCACCCGAAGGCCCAGCGTGTTCAGCAACTGGAGGGTATCTTGTATGTGACGGAGAAGTAGAAGCTTGGAGTCGGCAACCAGGAACCAGTCGTCGATGTACAGGTAGATGCTGATCCCCTGGAGACGGAGAAACGCTGCCACAACCAATGTTCCCTCTAAGCTGTGGAGTCTTGTGAGCAAAAATTCTACTTCCTGAGCTACTAGCATTAAAGTTGTGAGCAAGCGATTTGGCTACTGCATAAATCAGTTTGCTCTGGAGCTGTCCTTCCTGAGCTAAGACAAAAATCCATGAGCCGGAGGCTAAAAAACTGTGAGCTAGCTCACACTAACTCAGCTTAGAGGGAACACTGGCCACAACTACCATAGTTTTGGTGAAGACCCTGGGCGCACTGGAGAGGCCAAAAGGGAGAACCATGTATTGGAAGTGGTATTGACCTATGCCAAACCGGAGGTAGTGCCTGTGTGAAGGATGTATTGGTAGATAAAAATAAGCATCCTGAAGATCCAGGGCGGCCATCCACATTCCCTTCCGGAGCAGTGGCATAATTTGTTGAAGGGAGACCATCCAGAAATGGCGGTACTGGCCGTAGGTTTTGAGTCCTCTCAAGTCCAGGATCGGGCGAACACCACCATCCCGTTTCAGGACAGTGAAGTAACGGGAGTAGAATCTCTTGCCTTGTTCTGAGAGTGGTACCAGTTCAAGAGAGAAGGGAAAGGGGTGGCTGCAGGTGTTACGGCTTCTTTCCTTCTCTCTCTTTTTTTCTTTTCCTCTTTCCTTCCTTTTTTTCCTTCTCTTTCTTTCCTTCCTTTCCTTCTCTCCTTCTTTTTCTTTTTTCTTTCCCTCTTTCCTTCTCTCCCTTTTCCCCTCCTTTTCCCCTTCTCTCCTTCTTTCTTTCCCTCTTTCCTTCCTTCTTTCCTTCTCTCCTTCTTTCTTTCTTTCTCTCTTTCTTTCTTTCCCTCCTTATTTCCTTCTCTTCTTTCTCTCTTTCTCTCTTTCTCTCTTTCTCTCTTTCCTTCCTTCCTTCCTCCTTCTTCACAGATCTGCATGTTCCCCCCCCCCATAGCTAGCAATTCAAAAAAGTCCCTGCTTGTTGAGGTCGAGTAGGGCGACCCCCCCCCCCCAGCTAGCAATCCAAAAGAGTCCAGTGGCACCATTAAGATAAAGGTTTATTCAGGTACAAGCTCTCCCTCCTCTGTGAGAGCAGATCTGCACTGTCAGGGGTGTGGCCTAATATGCTAATGAGTTTCTGCTGTTGGGTATGGCCTATTATGCTAATGAGTTCCTCCTGATGGATCTTAAGTTGTAAATATAGTAATTTTGAACAGAGTATTGCTTAATTTTAGAAAGGAATCCTCTACATCCTCACAATCTCAGCTCTACAACATAATCCCTTACCTTTCTTCATTCCTACTAAACAAAGTCCCTGATTTACTCCACTGTTTTAGCACTCTCTAAAATATCTTCTACATAAACTTCTGTAGTCTCTTAAGACATTTTCTCTACTAGCAGGAAATGAAGGTCTAAGTAAAATTGTATTTCTGCTTCTTCCAGAACTGCAAATTAAAATAATCTTCTTTCCCATCACAGTCTGTGTGTCATGTTATGAGAACGTAATTTTATAGTATCAAAAGGTTGATGTTTTTAAGTTTTTGAAAGCATTATTGGAAAAATCTTATTTTTTACCCTTTTGTTAGCATATGCCTCCCATGAACGCTTCACCAGTCCATATTTAATTCCTTTGAAAAACAGATGACCAGTAGAGGACTTGTTCCATTCCAAAGCTCATGACTGCAATGTGGTTTTAGAGTATCAGCGAAAATAAAATGGAACTAATATTACTTTCAATTTAATTTGGAGGATGAAAATTAGAAAAAAGCATAGGGTACAACATCTGTAATAGCTTGTACTTACTAGAATCACATTTCACTACTCCTGCAACTTCATGTTCAAAGCTCTTCCTACAGAATGTTGTTAAACTTTCTGAACTTTTCAGGACCTACTTGAAAAGTCACTAGACTTTCTGCCTCCCCAACATAAAGCAAAGGGTTCTCACAACAGTTAACATCAAATAAGTTTATATTTTACTTTTTTATGCATACTGCTTATAAACATATGACATTACTAAGCAACAGACTTTATTTCATGACCGTTCTGCAACTTATGCAGCAGCAAACACAAATATGCCCTCAAGCCTCCCAAACGTAACCTCATCCTCCCTCCCAACCTCATCCTCTCTCCCAGCCTCACAACTCACACATTTCTTTTAAGAATCATTACTATACACTGCTTTACCTTGGATTTGAGTAATCATACTTTAACCTGGACAATGGACATTTTAAACAAAACAAATACAAGATGCTTATCCACTATAACAACAACACACAAGAATTGTATGTTGCCATTACCAATGTTCCAAAATGCTGAATTTTGCACTAACTGTATCAAAGAGCAAGCACACACAAAGCTGTTCTCCACTGCCGGCCTCCAACTATGGAAATCTTTGGGAATTAACTAGAGTTACATCTGCAAAGACATTTTTAGTAGTCATGTCAAAGCACAGTTTACCAGCCTGTTTAAACCAATGTTTCACTTTCTGTTCGGGGCTAATAATAGTTGACAAAAATAGCAGTACAGATGATCAGTTTCAAAAATGAAAGAAAAGGAAGTAGGATTTTCTTGTGACAAGACAAAAGGGGGGGGGGGCAAATGAACTCATAATGCACTCTGATCTTCTAGCCATACAGACTGATTATTACTAGGCTGGGCCCTAAAACCGGCCCAAAAGCATAGACATCTTTTGAAAACTTCACATGACCTTTATACTCCAACTGTCTTCTTTTAGATGGGTCTTAAAAAGTAGAGCACTTGTGCTTACAAACCACCTTCTCCCCTCAGGTCCATCTAACCACTCTTTGAAAGAAGCCCAGCAACCAGTGTTCCCTCTAAGTTCAGTTTGTGTGAGCTAGCGCACAGTTTTCTAGCCTCTGGCTCACACATTTTTATCATAGCTCAAGAAGGATGACTCCAGAGCAAACTAATTTATGCAGTAGCCAAATCACCTGCTCACAACTTTAATGACAGAAGCTCACAAAGTAGCTTAGAGGGAGCATTGCCAGCAACTAGTAGATGCTACGTAGGTCACCAGTACATAGCAGCCTAATTTTTGCCCATAACTGTTTCAGTGAATCCTAGCATTTTTTTTTTCACTCAACCACTTCTAATTTTCTATGTTCAGTAATACCTACCAGTTCCTTTGCTTATATATGGAGGTTTGAAGAATTTCACAACTCCGTACAAGTTGACAACAGTACCGCCTTTCAGATGATTCAGAGGAGTATATGTATACTTTGGGGCAACAGACTAAAAAGACACAACAGAAAGTGATTGCATGATAAAACTATTTTTATATAAACATTCAGTTTTAATAATCACTTTGCGTAAACTTTTCCAGCCTTTAAAAACAGGATGTGACCCTCCCCCCAAATACCAAATTGTTTAAAAAATATGTTGGTAGTGACACAAAATACTTCTCTTTCCTATTAGCCATTAATTTTTATTATACTATTTCCAAACAAGGGGTGACAGTGCATTGTCGTTTTGTTCATTGGCTGCAACTACTATTTGGCAGACAGTCTTTTATTTGCTTTGGGAACATCTCCATTTACAGGAAATTCTACAGTAATAATAAAAGTACAGCCTGCTTGCATGGGCAGAGAAAACACACCTCTCCAATATAAACAATGTGAAAGAAAATCTATGCCAATTGATTTCTGAGATACTGGAATTTCAATCTGGACCTAGTCAGTAAAGTATCTTGCCAAATACTTGATGCACGTCAAAAATTTAGCATCATTGCCCTCTCTTGGTACAGCAGATTTATTTTAATAAAGTTTTGGAAAAGCTGCCAGGACATGAACATTTGTACTCTCTCCAGCAATGAGCAGAAGGTGCCACAGCAATGTAATTATTTCTTGCATTACCCTGTTCTGTTGGCTGGTACAACAGGAGTCAAGTACACCTCCAACAATACATTGCCTGCATTTCTGACCCCACAGTTGAGTTTAATTTCATTTGGTGATCCTGCCTAAAGAGGAGTTGTTTACACACAACAATTAAAAAATATCTCAAGAAAATATCACAGAAAATTCCTGAGTCTCTATTGAAAAGTAAAGGAATACGTTGTAGCTAGGATCCCACCAAGAATTTCCAGGAATGGAGGTGATTTTTGCCTATTCCCTCTGTTTTTGGGCAAGACTTCTGATTTCCTGCCCCAAGCTATTCCTGGGAGTTCTTATCCTTGAGAAGCAGCATTTTGGGGGGTATTTTGGCCTAATACGGGAAGGGAAAATGGGCAAAACTGCCCACCTCCTTGTATCCATGAAAATTATGTGTATGATGCAAGCCTGCATGTTTTAATTTATGCATTAATTTTGGTTGCTGGGCTTCTTCCTTCTTTCTTTTGGAATGTGTATTCTCCTGCAGAAGCTATCCAATGGAAAATTCAGGCTTCAGGACTGTGCACGTTAACCTGAGAGTAAAGTCGCTGGGATTTACTTGTAAGAAAACAAGCACAAGCTGAACAATATCTATCTCATCTATCTTGAAGATGCCACAAAACCTATTTCAAACCTTGATCCTGGCAAGGTCCTGCATATTTTCAAGCCCCCAAATGCAAACTTACTATGGCTACTGTTTCTGAAGCAGCTGTTGTACATGGTGACTTAGGACAAATCTAGGTACAAAAACAGAACAGAAGATTGTAAATATAGTATATGCCAAAGATTCAGACTTCTTATGCCAGTATTTTTACAGGGATGGACACAAAACCATACATTAAATATTTATTTATTTAGTACATTTCTATCCTGTCCTTCCTCCAAGGAATACATCATTCTCCCCTCCTCTGTTTTATTCTCACAACAACACAGTGAGGTAGGTTAGACTGAGAGACATCTGACTAGCCCAATGTGACGCACCAAGCTTTGATGGCAGAATGGGGATATAAACCTGGGTCTCCCAGATACAAGTCGGACACTCTAATCACTACTAAAAATCCATATGGTATGTGCCCAGCTATTTAACATGATTACTGCACAAGATTACTGCACAAATCTTATTTATAGTAGAAGCAAACAGCACATACATTTTCTTCAGATTGCTGTTTATCGGCTGGATAATTTATAGAAGGGGCATTTGGAAATTTTCAGTGATGACAAAAAACTCTGGCAAGATACCTGTGCCTTTAGTAGCACAGATCCTACAGGCCATTTCTGAAATTCTATGGAGGCTTCACCAGCTGAAGTTCTGACCACCTACCTGATAAAGTAACGTTCTTAAACAACGGGTAACAGCCCTATCATGAAATAAATTACCAGATGACATATATGGAAAGACTGCCTTACTATATGGCAAATATTCTGTGGAATTCCAATTATTCAAATGCCATCCGGCAGGATTATGCTAACTTTAAAAAAGAAAATCAGAGTGGACATCTCTTGCTCTTTGCTTTCACCCGTTATTTAAAATAAAGGTGCCATTGGACTCAATCTTTGTTCTATCAAAAATAAAGATTGTGTATTGTGTAAATAGATTTACTGCATGTTTACTATTCCAGAGAAGCAACAGCAACATACCCTTTACTCAGCTAATTCAACAAGACCTCCAGCATCCCAAGCCACTGCCAATTCAATGCTAACACTATCAGAAATCTGGCAACAGCCTTAGTTGCTTAAGGCATGTTGATCCCTACAACTCTAGCATAGCATAATTAACATAAAGAAGCTATGCTTCCAATAGTAGTTGTGCATTCTACATTCTTATGATCTATATTTTATCATTCATTGGCTACCAAAATAAAAGAACTTGTTCCCAAAACTGCTCCATGAACCCATCTAAAGGGATAGACTTTTGCGTGTTTTATGTTGAAAACACTGGCTTTAAACTACCTAAAAAGCACAAAACACTATTTGAAGGCCAGGATCGAAACACCTACAGTCAGTGAGCCAAAGCCTTTGTATATGCCTAATGGCATATATAATGGCATATATTCCCTCTACTGCACCTTTGAACAACAATCTGCTTTTATACTCCACTCAGGTTTATTTATTTATTTGTTCAATTTATACCCTGCCCTTCCCGCCAAGGCGGGCTCAGGGTGGCTTACATAAAATACATATATATATATATACACAATTCAAAACATACATAAAACATCCATAGACAATCAGTATCCATTTTCAAAAGTGCTGGAACAATTAAAGTGCAGACAATTAAAGTGCAGAGCAGAGATTCCTAAAAAAAATGGTCTTCTACATGACATGGGGGCTTACTGTTTGCAAATAAGAAAAACAAATCCAGGTGTCAATTGGGTACATAGAACTAACTGAATGCTCTGCATCCTGGCTGAAGACTTCACTAACATGTATGAGGGTCAAATTCATGTACTGTTTGATTATGTCTTGTATTTCAGCTACTATCACTAGCATGGGTTGGGGGAACCATCAATATACGTACAAAAATAGATGACCCAGCCTCATCGAGCATTTCCAGCTGGCAGCAATGCCTGCCATCTTCGCTGGCAGATTTAGCCAAGATGAATCCAGCTATCACCATAGTATCCTATAGGAAAGACAAACCTTATTAATTGCCATGCTATGAGTCATGCCATTTTCTGGTATTTAACATTCCTAATAATTTATCTTTCCTGTGGGCAGGAAAAAACAATGTTCGTCAAGAAACTCACACAACAGCCAAGGTTCCTAAAACTACAGAAACATGAAGCAACCAAAGTTACATCCTTTTGGTTTTAATGGCAGGGATATACTTACATGCTTAACTCGTCTGCTAAATAGATCAGTCTTGAAATAAATGGGTGCTAAGCTTTGGCAGGATCAAAGTACTGTAGACCTCTCAACCATAAATAACTCAAATCAAGACTATTGCCTTAAAAAGGCTGTAACTGGCAATTTCAAGATTAACATCTGCTGATGTTTCAGATTTTAGAATAAATAGATGTTGATATAATACTCTTGCATCAGCAATACATATTACATAGTGTGCTGAACAGAGACCATGAGCAACCACTACAGGCCTATACTTGAGAGAAACTGATAACATATTTTTCCACCTGATCTGGGAAAAGGACACAATGGGTTGCAGGCTGCCCATCTTTACATAACAAACATCTACATATTATGTGTGCAGCAACAAATAAAAATCCTGTGATCAAGAACAGAAGTTTCATATAGATACAGGTTACCCTTCCAAAATACACAGAAAAACTTCTGTCTGATATAAGGTGAGCAAAATATTTTTGTTACTGTGGATTTAGGCAAAAAACCCACCCCAAAACAACAACTATTCATAACAAAACAATATTAGTGAGATGAAAAATCCAGAGAATTTGACATTGGCAAATAATGCGATGGGTTACTGAACAAGATTGGTAATTTCTACATAATAATGTTTACAAAGAAAATCTGAGATGGCTATGAAAATCAAATCTAAAAGGTCCATTCTTCAATACACATATATAAATCAAGAAAAAACCCAAAAATTAACAGATTCTGCAGTTTGTTTCTCCACAAATAGTGTATTTGCTCAACAGTCAAAACTGGCATGAAGACAAAATATGACATTTTATGGATTGACTTTTGTGATGGCACTTCCCATTATAGGATATGTAAACAGCTTTTTAAATGTCAAATTTGAACACTACATTGAAGCAATAATGGAATAATACTTTCATGTAACAGCCCCACCACTTGAGAAACTTTGATGTGCTTACTACTAGTTTGACAGCTTGGGAGGTTTGTAGAAAAGTGACAGCAGATAATTTATTGTACTTAATTAATTCATTTGTACTCCACCTTCCTTCCCAATGGGGACCCAAAGCTACCTACATCATTCTCCTCTCCTTCATTTTATCTTCACAATAACCCTGTACAGTAGATTAGGCTGAGAGACTGTGACTGGCTTAATGTCACCCAGCAAGCTTTCATAGCATGAGTGGGGATTTGAATCTGGGTCTTCCAGATGTTAGTCCAACACTGTTAACCACTACACCACACTGGCTCAGTATGATGTGATTTCTGTGATCGCTTTGTTCTTTTGATGCACCCCAAGCTGTATCACATAATTTTTGGAGAATGTTGTTTCGTGTGCTTATTTCCAATGCTACATTGATAAGTTGACATTTATCGCTCAAGGTCCTGTCCAGGGTAATGCCAAGGTACTTAGGTGTACAGTTTTGTGTAAGTTGGATGCCATTAAGGTAGACATTCAGTTCACAGTTGGCAAGACTGTTATTGAGATGAAAACAGGAACATTCTGTTTTTCCTGGACTTGGGATAAGCCACCATTTGCGGTAGTAGTCAACCAAAATTTTGAAGTCCCTAGTCAGTATTTCCTCAGTCCTTTCAATTGATTCATGCCATGTCATCGGCATAAGCAAACTTCCTAGATATCATCTCAGGAACATCAGAGATGTATAGATTGAAAGGAACTGGAGCAAGAACCAAACCCTGGGGTAGACCATTATTTTTCTTTTGCTTGCTGATTGAATGACCCATAATTACTTGGAAAATCCTATCACTCAGCATTTATTTAGGAGTTGAAATAATGTTCTGCAGGGGAAAACTTGTAAAAACTTGTACAGCAGACCATCCCCACAGACTGTGTCATAAGCGGCAGTCAGTTCGACAAAAACTGCTGATGTCTAAAGACACTTCTGATACTCGGCCTCAAGTTGTCAAGCTGTGAACCTGGTCTTCACAACTATGATGGGGTCTAAATCCTTCTGGCTCTGTAGGGACATACTCATTAATTCTGTCACTGATTCTGTTCAGGATTAGCCTTTGGAGGACTTTATAACAGGAGCTCAGAAGGGAAATAGGTCTGTAATTTTCTGCCAGATGTTTTGGTTTTCCAGATTTCAGAATAGCAACTATTTTTGCTTTCTTGAATTCCCCTGGGAGTCTCCCTGTTCTCATAATGTAAATGAGAAACTTTGTGAGCCATTTCATAGTGAATGTGCTGCTGTTGATCAGGAACTCATTATGGATGGAGTCAAAGCCTGGGGGAGTCAAAGCCTGGTGCCTTTCCGCTCTTGATGCCCTTCAGTGCCTTGGAAATTTCATCAGCACTGCTACAACACTTAGATGCTCAGCTTTGGAGTTGGTGTACAGTACTGCAGAATATGGTGCTTCAGTGTGGCTCAACAGCCTCCGTGTCCACAAACTTGATGTCCAGCTCAATACAGCAAATGTATTAAACCTACTCTGACCTATTGGCTACCCACATTGTGCCACATCACTCTATCTCCATAGATATTCTTCGTAAATATAGAAAGATTATTGAAAACAGAAAGTTGCCCATCCACAAAGACATGGTTGACGTAGGCCTATCCAGACTAAGATCCATTCCTGACACCCAGCAATAAAATCTGCACAAATGCTGCAGTCACAAAATTTTGATCGAGGGAAAGAATGGTTGTGAACATGGATGCAATCAGTTCCACCCAATATCCAAAGCCTGATAAACACCAATGAGAGGCCCCCAGGGTTTGACCTACCATGTAAAGTATGGAAGATGGCTAATAAAATACTAACAGGCTTTGGCAGTTGTGTAGACCTGTTTAAATGGTGCAAAATACCAGGACCCAAATGCAACTGTGGGGCAGCCCACCAAACTATTTTCCATTTATCACAGGAATGTGACTGTCATGCTTTCCAGAGTGATCTGAAGGAGCTCTTTAAACTCTCCCCAGCTGCGATCGAGTGGATTAAAAAATTAGATACCCTGTTTCCCCGAAAATAAGACCTACCCCAAAAATAAGCCCTAGCAGGATTTCTATGCATTTGTGGTATAAGCCCTAGTGTGTCTTCATGAGAAAAAATAAATATAAGACAGTGTCTTATTTTTGGGGAAACACGGTATTAGTATTTAGGGGGATGGCCCAATCAGTCTGCACACGCATTGCATCAACCTGGTTACATATTTTATATTATTATAATATGCTCCCTATGTGTAACTCTGCCATACGATAAATAAATAATAATGTGCATTTGATGTTGAGGGAGACAGATGTAATCTGGAAAAAGTTAGGCACATGCAAATCTTTTGGAAATCACTGGAATGTATAGTTACTGAGTTCCCACTGATTTCAATAAGCAAATTAAATTTTTTACAGCTTTGTCCTGAATCAGGAATAGGAATCAACAAATCTTTTTGACACTAATACCAGTTAAAATTAAAGATTTATACGTTTGTTTTTATCTTGCTCTCACTGTGTTATATTTCTACTTACAGCTTCAGAGGGTAGAACATCTCCAGTCAGTGGCCAGAAATTTAAACACATCCCAGCCCAATGTCAGCTTTGGGGTTGCTGAGCATACATTGCCCAGGGGGCCCCTTCTGACCATCACCAGACCTCTCTCATGCCTCTTTCCACCAATCTACCTATGAGTCTCATGACTATACATCCTTCCCCGGCTCACAAGCTCTCCAACTGCATGCGCTCACATCCACCTGCACCGTATTCATGCTTTTGGCAGCACTGCTGCTATGGTTACCAGGTGCACCACTCACATATTCTTTCCCCTCAATGCTGGGGAACTGGGAGCATGGGTGGTAGAGAGCTTGTAAGTGAATGGTTATAGAGAGGCACATGGATAGGTAGCAGGGAGGTGTTGAGGCAGAATCAACAACAGGAGATCCCTGCCAGATGCCCCGAGCCTCAGCAGCACCTCAGGGTATATTAATGCCAGCCCTCCCCCAGCCCCTCACAGTGCTGAGCACTGTGCTAGATACTTCAGTATATTAAGTTCAGAGCAAGTAGCCCAATTCTAGGCAGGAGATAAGATGATCTAGCAAAAGCACTCAATTCTCTGCCATCAGGTATCACATATGTCAACTACTGACCAGTAGGAGACAGGTAAAAAAGAAATAAAGGATTTTAAAACAAGAAAACTGCCCAAATTCTCTGGCAACTATCAAGTTGCTAGATTGGAAGCCAGCATGGAAGTAACGAGAGTTTTAAATATATAAACAAGAAGGGGGACCCGCAATACTCGCAGGGGGGAGGAGCTCCATGTGGAGGAGGAAGAAGCAGCCACAGGTGAGCCTAATCCCCCACCCCCCGGCAACATGGCGCAGGGAACACTCTTTAACTTTTTGGGAAATTTAAGTATCCCCCGTATATTTTTTTCAGGTTTTTAGATTTTTCTGCACACCTGGGGACTGTTCCAAGTGTGCAGGAAAATCTCTGTGCCCCCCAAGTGCACCCAATGTGTGGATTTAAATATCCGCATGGAGGGGGCAACTTGGCTATAAGATATATAGATAAATAACAGTGCTGATAGAATACCTTACTGACAAGCAGGTAAAACAAGCGAGATTGCAGAGAAAATGAAACTGCAATGGAAGTTAAGGCTCCTTTACTTAAGTTAATTCTGGCATTGCCTGAGTATTAAAGCACCATCTCAATTGTGATTGTGCCCTCGAAGTATCTTCAAATGGATGTGTGCTCTTACTAAGAAACATTTTACCCTCAAAGTCTCCTCCTCCTCTGTATTCAATCTTGTACCAACGGCATTCCCATTAGCTTTTACCGCATGCCT